CTCGCGGTCTCCGAGAGTCAGTCAGCTCCTGCGCAGCCAGGCGCGGACTCGACATTCCGAACCCGTTCCGGCATCCCCCGCCCCACAACATCCAAAGCGCCGGAGGTGAATTCCAGCCCCCTGGCCCGTCACTCGCGCGCGCTCAGGCTGCGGTTCGATCTCACCGGCCCGCGCTGAATACTTCAGGGCGTTAGACAAGAGGGCATTCAGGCCACCTGTCCTGCTAGGCAGCTCCAGTGGTAGTTACCTGATCCCATGATCTCATCCGCCACCTTCTTGGTGGAAACCAGGGTATCGGCTTCAACCACCCAGCTGGGCTGCTTGTTCCACGTCCCCGCCGCACTTTGTGTAAAGAAGTGCCTCCTGTTCTCGTTTTTTGCGCGCACGTTCGCGCAGTTTCCGCTCCTGCCCTGAGGTCTGTGTACCTGCGAGGACCCCCTCGAATTCGACTTCGCCCTTTCCCGCACTCGCCCAGTGTGGCGGGCGGAAGAGCCCCCATCGTGGGCACACGAAAGACCCCTGTTGTACTTCTTTTACGTCCTCGCCCTCGGCCCTCAGTCTGCACGCGAGCCGAGCCGTCTGCGCTGTCGAAGTTACCGGCCGGGGTGTGCGTCGCTGGTGCCTTACTCCAGGAAGAGTTCCCGTCGGCAAGCTGCAGAAGCCAACAGCGCAGAGTCCCTCACGCAGGTGTGCATGTAGTGTACAGAATCAGTGCTGGTGATGCAGTGCACAGCTGTGTGCAAGTGGCAGCCTCTTAAAGAGATGGGCTTTTTCAGCCAGTAGGCCAGGAGCACAGGGAGGGGGGAGCAGGAGGTTTGCACATTGCACTGCTCCCAGGCACTTAATTTATGGCCCAGGATTTCTATGGTGTCAAGTGGGGAATGTCATTCCTGTAGTTTTTCTCTCATTCCCTCTAGCCTGACGACCTCCCTTACAAACCATAAACACCCCCCCCCCTCCCCAATGCCCTGCCCCCCTCCCTTTGAGAGACTGGGGAGGGAGGGATTAAAAATTCTGGCAGGGGAAGCCACATTGCACTGTTCTCCTCCTCCTCCCCTTTTCTCTCCCTCCCTCCCTCTCTCCCTCTCTCCGCTCCTGTTGAATTGAGGCTATTATTCCGAAGTCCTTTCACTTGTTTGCTGTGTGCACTGGCTCCTTACAGCGTGCGAGTTCAAGGAAGAGAAGTTCAGTTGCGCACCACCTATCCAAATATAGACCATACCGCAGTTTCTGCTGCCAGGACTTTTACACACTCTCTCCTGGGGTGTCTAAACCCTGTGGGCTTTCCCTACTTTTTCTTTACTCCACACCTGAAGTTCTGCTGAGAGGACTAGAGAAAGAATATATTATCTCAGGGCTGTGAGCTTGCCTACTGAGCAGCGGAGAGCTCCGGGCAGCAGGTCTGGGCTGGACTGGGGTGGGATTCCGGCTGGATGGCGTTGGCTCCGGTCACTGGATTCTCCGGAGCTGTGGGCTGATCGCAGGTGAGCCTCCCCGAGTGTCTCCTGATCCGCACAATCCCTGCTGGAGCGAAAGAGTTCCCGCAAAGTCCCAATCTCGTGCTGTGGTGCCGTTCTCGGCGGTAACGCGTGGTGCTGTCTTGCGCTGTATTGTGATGTGCTGATCTGGGCTGTGATGTACCGCTGTGCGCTGTGTTATGCTGTGGAGTCCTGCTCTTGTGTTGCTCTGTGCTGTGCTGTGGTGTTCTGCTCTGTGCTGTGTTATCCTCTCCTATACTGTACAGTGCTATACTGTCCTGCACTGTTCCTGTGCTATGATATGCTGTGCTGTGTTACCCTGTGCTGCACTGGTCTGTGCTGTGATACACTGTGTTGTGTTATGCTGTACTGTCTGTGCTCTGCAATATTGTGCTGCTCTGTTAACTGTTAAGCTATGTGGTGCTGTTCTGCTGTGTGTTGTTACACTGTGATGTACAGCTCTGCGCTGTGTTACTCTGTACTATACTGCACTGTGCTGTTCAGTGTTGTACTTGTCTGTGCTGTCTAGTATTGTACTGCTCTGTGCTGTGTTGTGTGGTGTGGTGTTGTACTGCTCTGTGCTGTGTTATGTGGTGTGGTGTTGTACTGCTCTGAGCTGTGTTATGTGGTGT